CTTCACCCGAGTGTCCGACATACGGCCGCAGATCCGATGAAACGATGACAAAATCGATCATCGAACTGCGGCCTAGGGTGTCCTGGTGCCAAGTACTTATGCCTGAACATGGTGTTCGTGATGGACAATCCGTGACGAGCACAGAAGTCCAACAACAGAACACCACTCGAGTTCAGATCGGGGGGGCCGTTCCTCCCAACCACGCCCCTCCAGGTCTCACTGTCATTGCCCACGTGAGCGTTGAAGTCCCCCAGCAGAACAAGGGAGTCCCCAGGAGGGGCACTCTCCAGTACCAATTAGCAATTAAAGTAATTATGTAAATAATCCAAGTATTACAAAGATCTGTTACCTTTGAATCAGTTTATTTTGCTGCATTTAAGCATGAATACAACATACAGAATCCTATAAAAGTAGTGATAATTAAACATCATCAAAAACAAAAAGAACACATTTTGCCTCCTATTAGACACAAATATTTTTGACATCTCTGACTTGCCAAATTTTTAAACCAATTTTATTTTCACTTTCATCATTTTATCTTCAACTGCTTCTAGTTTGAACTGTCTTGGGTGTTTATAGAAATGTTTTTACCAGCTTGTAGCCAAGATTCTGACGTTTCTGTAGATACCAAACATGTCTATGTTTAACTGAATGAACTTAAAGTAATTACAGTAGAAAACCAGAGGTTTGGGCTTAAGAGACGAACCAGTTGGCGGGCCGAACTTTGGTCACTTGAATAGCTCTGCTCTAAAGCATCCTTTCTCCTTTTAACAGCCTGTAATTGTCTAGCAACTGAGGACTCTGATGTAGGATTCTAGCTGTTCTGCAGTTCTGGGTCTACTTTGCTGAAATTTTTGTGTCATGATGTGCCAAAATGACATTGTTTGGATGGAAGCATAAATTCTTTTTTGTATTGATGGTGCCTCTCTAGATGTGTAAGCTGCCCATGCCAGAGGCACTAATGTACCTCTATACCATCAGAGAGTTAGGCTGAGATGAGTTATCTTATGTATTCTCCCTGCAGATAACTGGTGGTGTTTTGTGGACGGCAGCTTCTTCACCAGAATGGTCGACACGTACAAGAGCATTGTGGTTTTTATGCTAACGGGGGGCAAAACGCACCTGGTGCCCATGTTCTATGACAACTATTTCTTGGCCACGTTACGGCTGCTGGAGAAACTCCACAAGGTGTTCACAACTCAACTCGGTGGCTTTAAAAGAAACGTTTGTTCACTGCTCAGACGGTTCTTAGTGATCTGTTTTAGACTGTGACATTTTGAGCATTTTATTTTGCCAGGTAAACCTGAGGGCCAACCATGTGGAGTACAGCCGCTTTTATATCCCTGACATCACCAGCCTGGTGGACATCCAGGAAGACTACCTCAAATGGTTTCTGAGTAAAGCTGAGATCGTGAGTGTTATACTAGATTTCTTTATTTGGACACATGCTCCACTCTGTAGACTTCGATTCCTAAATGATTGTGTGCTTTCTGCGGATGTAGAGTAACTCAAATCAGTGAGAGTGATTTTGTAAATTCTACTTTTAAGTAATTCCCTGAAGTCAGATCTAAACATTTTTCTCTTTCGCTCTCATTTTGGTTTCTAGAAAGTTGGATCATCCCCTTCGCAGGTAGTTAACTTTTTTCTAATAATCATTCTAGTCTTTTAAATTTTTATTACAGTAAATTGTTTTTTCCCAGCAGAATGACTTTCCCTCAGTAAACCTTTGTGCCTTCCCGTTCATCCTGAACGCTCAAGCCAAGACTACAATGCTGCAAACTGATGCTGAACTGCAAATGCAGGTAACTGTTATTCACAGAAAATTGGCATTGCGTGTGTTTTAAGCTGTAACAGTGCAAAACTTAAACTCTAACTATAAACATTTTGCAGATTAATGGTTCTTATTTCTTGTAATTTTCTGTTTTTGTTTTGTTTTCTAAACTGAAATCCTTCCAAGATGGCCGTAAGCGGTGCAAACCTGCACAATGTCTTTATGCTGCTCACACTCGAACCCCACCTTGCTAGAAATCCATACTTGGTGCTCCATGTGCGCAGAAACCATTTAGTGAGCGACACGCTACGCGAGCTCACCATGTACTCCGACGTGGACCTCAAGAAACCACTCAAGGTCTGAAAAACTAATCTGTCTCCTTAATGTCGTCGGTCTAATGGAAATATTTATTTGCTTTCCTTTGGTCTATTTATCGTTTTCTGACACCCTCCAGGTGATATTTGATGGCGAGGAAGCTGTGGACGCAGGTGGTGTAACTAAAGAGTTCTTCCTGCTGCTGTTAAAGGAGTTGATGGATCCAGTTTATGGGATGTTCACACATTACAAAGAATCCAACCTGCTGTGGTTCTCAGACATTGTGAGTGTTTGCTCTGAACTCATTTACCCAAGGCCATATCCAAACCTCCTTTCATTTAGCTCTAATGTATGATGAAATATCAAATAGGATTGGTTTGAGGTCATTATAACATTGTCTCGTGTTTTCACAATGTGCTTGATATATGTGACCCATCATATGAAAATGAGGATTAAGTCAAACTTGGTCAAAATGACCTGACTACATTTTCAGATCCCTGGCTTTAAAAGCTACAGTTTAATCATTCTGATATCATAAGTGGATCCAGAGATATGACCTAATTTGTCTTGTTGGTTACAATAATACATTACTGTTTGGTCTGAATCCTGATTTAATGTAAAATGTATTGAGTCATTTTTGATGTCAATATAAAGAGGAAACATCAAATAGTATTTGTATATTAAGATTTCCCAGTTGGAAAGAAACTAGCTCACAGGGAAAATTTCAAAAATTTTAAGACGTTTTTCCTCAAAATCAGGTTTTTTGTTGCTACTGCTSAAAAAAATGCTTCAAGAAATTTTTTAAAGATTATATTTCAGACACTTCATTCAAATAATACATTGATAAGGCATTAATTCATTACATTTAGACAAAATGCAATTTTAGCACACGTTTAAATCAAAAGCCTATATCTGCATATTTCTCCACATTCCACTTCTGGACTTAATGCTCTTTTCGATGTGACGGGTCACATATGTTTATTTAAGTAAAATAAGTTTGTTTCTCTGTGTTTTTGGACCGGTGACACACAAAGTGTTAATGCATTGTTATGTAAACAGTGCAGAATGATACTTGTAGCACCTAGCAAGATGGCAGCAATTCGATTCTCTGAGCACCATCAGTGACCGTTCCAGTGTGTTATTATTTCATTGGGTGAATTATCCTCATCCCACCTCAGTCTTAAGTCTTTAATATGCTGATGGAAAAAAGTCATAGGTTTCTGAGAGTTCAGAGCCCATTTTTTTTCCCAGTGACCTTATGTTGACACGTTTTACTGGAGCCTTAAATAAATAGACCTGCAGTATGTGTGCAAGCAGGTTTTTTTTTTTATTTTTTTTACCTGCATCTGCATTTTCCAAGTAGAGTTGTTGTCCCTGTAGCTGTACAGATTGTTACTATACTATATGTCAGTGGGAACATGCAGGTTTACAAAACAAACATCACTGTGAGCAAACAAACTCCCTGACCGTTTAAGAGCAGACTATGAAACAGAATCCTACAACCTCCAAACAACTTTCCCGCCTTCGTTTTTTTAAATTACCGCCTACAATATCTGCTAGTTAATGACAGGGTTTATAAACTTTCATTGTCCTCACAGAAAATTCTGCTTTTTTTCTTTATTCCCACTCACATCACATTTTCCCTGTATTTGTTGAAATATTTCAATGTGAGATTGCCCTAAAATTAGTAAAATGACTTTTTATCTGAAAAAAATCCTCCATATTTTATTCAGTAATCTGCTCTACATGTATATTGTTGTAGTACTTTGGGTTTGGTTAGCTGATGATGAACATTAAAGCCTGATTTCTCTGCTCATCGTTTTCAGATTGAGGTCAGCAGGGTCGTGTGTTTGGATTGAATATTTCCTGAAATAGATTTCTTTGTTTTGAGAATTACGAAATCACCTTTCTAAGTGGATGTTTAGTCAACTCTTAACGTTTCTATAAATGGAACAAAAAAGTTATATCCATATATTGACAACAACTCTATACTTAACAGATAATTCTGAATTTATAAATCATTTATTAACAAAACATGGTTTCTAACAATCAACTTTTATTTCAGTTTTACACTCGGCTGTGTCCAAATTCTTGGGCAGGTCCAAACAAACTTATTTTGTAAAAGAATGACGCACAGCAGGATACAAATATAAAAAAATGAAAGCAGTATTCTTTTCAAATGGAAAATGCATAAAATAAGAAATGAGAAACTAGTTTTATAGGTTTTGTTTTGACTATAAATCTGTTGAAACATTAAAAAAACTGTTAGATCAGACAGCTGATCTGTGCTTGAACAAACTAAAACTGCCCTGGTTGGCACAATTAATGCATGTTTCTGTGTGCAATTGCAGTGTTTTGTAGAACAAAACTGGTTTCATTTGATCGGGATCATCTGCGGTCTGGCCATCTATAACTCCACAGTGGTGGACCTTCACTTCCCCCTGCTTCTCTACAAGAAGCTGCTGGACGTCTCGCCCACTCTGGAGGACTTCAAAGAGCTCTCACCCACAGAGGCCAGGTCGTCTCTCTTCTTTAACACAAAATGTTTGCTTTAGTTTTCTGAAGTGCTACAAACCTTCTGTCCCATTGTGAAGAACATTCACTCCACAAAGCAGACAATGTAGAGGAAAAAGCAACGGTCTGAGTCCTGCTGTTCAAACACATGTAATTTACTCTGCAGGTTTGTCATCGGAATGCAACGTGTGTTTGGCATGAATAACAAGTGGCTTACTGAGTTTAGAAGATGTAGATTTAGAGCAGGGATTGTTTTGTTGATTTGATTGTGCACGATTCTCCTCAGATGCTTATTGATTCTGCACAGTTTGAAGCAATGCAGACAACATAAACAAAACGTATAAATGGCATGTTTTTTTTTTTATCCGGAATGTGTTTTGTGAGCAGCTCAGTTTCATCAGCAGACTGTAAGCACTAAAATCACAGCAGCTTCCGTTTCAGGATTTTTTTTTTTTTTTTTTGTACTTTGACCATATCTCTGTGGCAACAATGCTCCGTCCTTCATCCTAATTAGCTTCTCCTTTTTAATTTGTCCTCTTTCTGTGTTTCCTGTGTGTTGGTTGTAAATATCCAGCATGGTTCTTTCTGTCAGGGAAATGAACTCTCAGCACTCCCTCTGAGCCATTTCCTGTTGGCAAACGTCTTCACGGTTCAGCTCTAATCTGGCAGGCGCTGAGTTCAGTCCAACATGTCTGATTTTTAACTCACTTTTACTTGAGATGTTGTTTTAAATCGATGTTTCCTTCACTAACCAGACTAAAAACATAAAATTTTTCCTAGATATTGTTGGTTTTCATTAATGACTTTTATTTCCTGTTTACAGGAGTCTGCAGGAACTTCTGGATTATGAAGGAGGAGATGTGGAAGAGACATTTCTTCTCAACTTTTCTGTGGGTTTTTTACCCTACTTGTTTATTTTTAAGTGATTTTTGCATTAAGTGGTAAATGAGGTGTTATTCTGGATTTTTTTAAATTATCCATGACCATCATTTCTTCTAAAGATGCAAATCTTTCAAACATGTCATATATGCTCGTAGCTGTTTATCTGTATTAAAGACTAGCGCAGAGGGAGAAGCTGTTATTTCTGGCTACACAAAGGAAAAGTTTGCATTAAGGGGTCGTTTTGGTATTTCCACAGAGAAAACACACGGAACATTATCAGATTTATCAGTGAGCTCCAAAAGTGTAAATCATGAGTTGTTTTTAGTATGCCCAGATGCAGCTTTACAACCCAGAGATGAGACCGTTTCCTGTGTTTCCATCGTAGATCACCAGGGAAAACTACGGGGTTGTAGAAGTCAAAGAGCTGGTACCCGGAGGACAGAGCATCTCTGTGGACAAACACAACAGGTTCTACTCTTCAACCACTCAAATAATATTTTAATTCCATTTTTTTTCTCTTTGTTGCATTAGTATTTTACTACCTTCCACTGTGTTCTCTTTAAGTTGTTTTTCCTCTCAGTAAGCAGCCTGTTGCTCAGTTTTAAGTGAAAATCAATGACCTGTGCTGGACCCAGATGGCATTTCTCAGAGCCACACAGTTTTCCCATCACACCCACTTCACGTTTCAGTCTAGTCCTCGTGCCAGCGGCCCTGATCTCAGTGTTCCTCAGAGCGCTGTGGGCCGGGTCGTGTCTGGCAGCTTGCGGTGAACAGATGGCACAGGAAGAAAAGGCAGCGGCTCCAGTTGTTCCTCCAAAACCCCCTCGACCATCAAAAGTTGAAGTGTTCCAAGACTTTGCTTCAGCAAAACGTTTACCAGAGTGTTTATGTTGGGACTTCTGCGATCTGAAATTTTTCTCAAGGTTTTTTTTTTTTTGTCTGGGCTCTGATAACTTTTTAAAAGAGCCACACTACCTGAGTTTTAAAGGCAGAGGAGAAGCAATATAATCTGAGCTTTTTAATTTTTAACTAACTCTTTAGTTTTTGATCATCTTCCTTCTCTTCTCTTCTCTTCTTTCAGTTTTCCCAATTCACTGTAACCTCATACCTCTTCTATTTAAAACAAGAATTTTCTACAAGAACTTCTTTAAATTTGCTCTGATGTTTGTCTCGACACAATAAAGACCTGATTAGAGCCGTGTGGCTAAAAGTCACTGTGACCTGACAAAAAGTATTTGTAGATGTTGGTAAAATGTTTTTTTTTCATTACCCTGGATAAGACTATATAAGCTTCAGCTTTACCCCTTTATAAAATTATACTTTGTAGTATACAACTAAGGAATGCCGATATAAGATTTCTGCTGAATATTGTTCAGTATTATTATTTATATGAGTACCATTACATTAAAGACTGAACCTTCTTGGCTAATTTCAGGAGTTACATTTGATTTTTCTTTTAATCAAATGTTCACCAATCACCACTGGATCCAGCACATCACTGAATATAAATTTAATCTACTGTAGCAAATTCTGCAGAAAGACTTCCTTGTGATGGAAATAAATTGAGCTCAGCCTGCAGGCAGAGGGTTTTGATGAACTCTTGTTAGTCTGCAGACAACATTACAATAAAGTGGAGAACCCCACAAATGTAGACACAATGAGAGAGGAAGCCAGTGTTTACAGTTTGAATGAACTCTTTCCTCAGAAGCTGATTGTGAGGATGCAGCTGCTGAGTGGGGCCGGCCTGATTACCTGATTTATTTACTCGATGTGTTTGGGTGTGTTTACAGGAAGGAGTTTGTGGAGGCCTACCTGTGCTACGTGTTCTCGGACTCGGTGTCGGAGCAGTACTCGGCCTTCTCCTCGGGCTTCCTGAAGGTGTGCGGGGGGGAGATCCTGTCACTGTTCCAGCCCTCCGAGCTGATGGCGATGGTGGTCGGCAACAACAATTATAACTGGGAGGAGATGGAAAAGGTCAGTCCGGTGTTTAAAGCTCTGCGTGTGGAGTTTGACCGATCTGACTCATTTGTGTGTGCGCTGAATGATTTCCTGTTAGTCAAGCTGACTCTCCCAGTTATAATTACCTGAATATAACTTGGACCCAAATCACTTAAAGCCACTTAAATTATTCCAAAGTCCAGTCTGACCTCTGACTCTGGTGATATTTGCCCTTAAAGTATGTGTTTGTAATGGCTTTCAGCTACTACCGCATCAAATTTTAGCTCAGCATCTGCTAAATTAACTGAATTGTAGCCATTTGTGTGTCTTCTAATGTGTTGGCCATCTTGAATCAGGTTGACTTCATGAG